TGAGGCCTCCTGTACACAACACACCTGCCGCTAGTGAGCCTTCTCCGGGGAGTTCTGCTGCCCAGCCAGGCGTGGGGGCCATCAGTCGAGCCAGCTCCAACTCAAAACAGTTTCCCTAGACAGAGCGTGAAGGGGCAGAAAACCTTTAGCTGTGACTGAAAATATAAAGAACGGGTTCCTTTTCTTTGGAATCCTCCTTCTGACCTGGCATGCTCTGTAGGATACAGTGGAACTGCATCAGGCTCTTCCAAGGCTTTGATCATCATGCGAGCACAATGCCACGTCTTCCTCCCGCGGAGTGACTAGTGGGTTTGAACTACCAACCTTTTGATTAGTAGCTGAATTTTTTAAGAGGGAAAACCTGTTCAGAAATAGTTTTACACGCTCCACAAACATCATGTGTACTCGGTCCACATTGTTTGTGGATTGCATGTTTGCAAATTTGCTCAGTCACTAGAATGGCTTTGTAACTCCCCCATCAGTATTCGTGGGGTGCGCTTGCACAGAGCAGGGAGAGTTCTGCTTGCTTCTTACAGGTGGGTCTGGTATTTGCTTGTTTGGAGGCGGGGGCTTCGAGAACAGACCGCTGCAGGCAGTGGGACGATGGTCCTTCTGGGCTCCCACTGCTGTAGAGTCGTTTCTGCATCGTGCTGTCTGTGCTGCACTTTTAGGTGACGTTAGCCGTCAGCTGTGTGAAGGCAGGAGTATGTGTGGATGGACCATCGATTCTCCATTCCTGAAACGGGGTCATGTTGTCTAAAGTTGCTGCAGTTGCTTAGTCAGTAGATACGGAGCCATTGCTCCACGGGGGTGGGGGGAAGCGAGGTTTGTTTTCTGGGAGCCTCTGGACACAGCATTTGTGTCAGCTGGCCAGCACGCACGCTTGCTTTCCCGTGCTCTTTTCTGGAAGCCCGTTGCTCAGCACGCACTGGTGATGCATTAGTGTTGGCAGTGCACTGCAGGGCCTGAGAGGAGCTCAGCGCGTGGCTCCATTGGCTCCAGCAGCCTTCTCATGCCGAGGACGCTGGGCGGCCCTCAGCACCTCCCCTCGGTGCTGTAAACAGCTGAGTTGCAGACAGAGAGCACGGAAGTGTGGGAAACGTGGCATCACAGGGATGGGAAAGGACACTTGTGCATGTCTGAGAGCATAAACAGGGCAGCAGAGGGTCCCTTTTTTTCTGACCTCAGCTGGAAAAATGCTGGTCTGGAGCCCCAGATTCCCACCCCTCTGCTCCTCTAAGTGACTGGGGATGAGCCTGGAGCGCTGATCATGGCCTCACAAGTCAGTGTCAGGAGTCATGGGTTCACAAATAAGGGGTTTGCGAATATTGAGGCTTAGGGCTTGTAATGCCACTGTCCACAGTCATTCTGACTCCCACGGACCCATGTTGGTTTTCTAAGCTGCACCCCTTTTGTGGGAGGAGACTACCCATCCTTTTTTTGGAGCAGCTGGTAGACTCGAAGCGCCAACCTTCTGGACAGCATGCTGTTTGTTTTAGAGGGACACTGTACTCTTTAGTACTCACTACTCCCTTTCTTAGGGGACAGGGTAGGTGAGACTGAACAGAGGACAGAGGCAGGTAGGGAGGGACACCAGGTTCTTTCTGTACAAAAGGAGAAAGAAATTCTGTGCCTTCACTCTCACCTGTACCGGAGAGATGTATGTAACTATTCACATTTATCATACGCCTTCACAGAAATCCTGATCTGCGTGGTACAGAGCTTCAGATAGATACACGGATGCACACATCCCCATTAAGAATACTGATAAAGTTCCTTCTTTTGTTGAAAATATCCTCAAGCACACCTTTACTGCCCGTGCTGTCTGGTGGTGCATCTTTTTAGTGACATGGACTCAGCGTGGTCCCAGAGCGACTCATTTGCTCGTGTCGCCATTCCCAGTGCTCACTCTGGGATGTTAACGAGTAATAGTTCCAACTGCAGAGACAATAGATTGGCTTTATCAAGATACTGATAATAAAAGACAATGAAAATTGTAAAAAGAGAAAAAAGGAGACGTTCGCCTTTGAGTTGTGGAGGGGAACCCTGCTGCAGGTCGGGGACTCCTTGTCCATGTGCTGATGCACTGGGCGGTCCTTACAGCCCCTTCTCTTCCTCTGAGCTCGTTCAGCTCCGGGTTGTGCTCCCTCCCTCCTTCCCTCTGCATGTTGACCCAGAGGCTCTGGGGTCATTGGCTGGGAAGGATGCAGTCAGCTCCAGGGCGGCTGGGCTCAAGCTTGGACAGGTGGTAAAGGTCTCCTTTCCTCAGGTTGCTAGGAGTCAGGTGTGTCTGGTTCAGAGCAATTACACAGTTCAGAGCCCTTGTTCAATGTTGGGGAGCAGTGGTGGACTAGCACAGAGGGAGCCCTGATGGCCTAGTGGTAAGGAGCTGCGCTGCCAACCCAGAGGCACGAGGTTTGAATCCACCAGCTGCTCTGCGGGAGAAAGATGGGCAGTCCCCTCCTGTGCAGTTTACTGCCTCTGAAAACTCACCGGAGGCTCAGCCATGAGTCGGTTCCTACTCGATGGCACCTAAGAACAGCAGTTGGTCCAAGACAATCCATTATCAGCTTCTTAAACCAATAACTGGCCAGCAAAATTAGGTTTGTGGGACTGCAAAGCCAATATTCTGCAGTTTAATTCCACAAATTTTCTGTATGTCACGCCAGTGCCTCTGAAACAGTCTGGGAGTTCAGTGTTGGGATGAGAAAGGTGAGGTTTGGTGTACAGGAGCGAGTTTGTACCAAGCACATCTTAAAATGATTACATGTTAGCATCACATCCTCCTGCCAACTAAGAAAAGATGACGATGGTGATTCCTGTGGGAGATCTTCCCGCTGCACCACCTGTTTAGTTCCCGTTCCATCTCCTGCGTCTGGGGTAAAACATTCAAGCAAAACCAATTTTTTTATTTTTTATTTTTTTTTAATTTGCCTCAGTGTACCAGTTCCAGCAGTTAATGATGAACGGAAATTCCTGGGTCCATTCACTGTGTTTAGGGTATGTCGTGCACAGATGGCACAAAGGGCTGAGCGCTCAGCTGCTAACCAAACGGTTAGTGGTTCATGTTCATGAGCCCTCCTGCAGAAGAGAGGTGATACAGTCTGCTCCTGTGACAATCGATCACGGCCTCTGGGACAGCCCTCCTGTCCTCCAGGTCACTGGGAGTCAGGATGACTGGAAGGTTCTAGGTCTGGGCTACGGGTGAGTACAGGGGACTGTGTGCACTGAAGTCGTTGAACTTAGGGAATCGGGTCCATAAGGTAAGTGAGTGTTGTTAGGTGCTGTTGAGTCACACTACAGCTCACAGACCCTGAGAGCAGTAGGCAGAAACCTTGTCCTGTCCTGCAGCGTAACTTAGTGTTAGGCCATAAGGAAGTGGAGATTCTTATCAGTAAGATGTTGAAGGACTTGTGCGGTGTCAAATGATTTTCCCAGGAAGGAGAATGGAGCTGGGCTTTGAGGCCCGGTTAGTGATGGACAGCTGGGTGGTGAATGGCATGCAGCAAACAAGAGGACTGTCCGCTGTGGTCCTCTGGCAGCCTGGGGAGTCCGACCACCCACTCTCCTGGCTCCAAGTGCTGAGATTATAAATGGCAGCATTATCCAGGGAGGAAGAAAGAATGCTTGGCAGGTCCCAAGGAATTCTGGTTCATCATTAATTCAATTCTGTTCTCGTCAAGTGTCAAAAAAAATGCCAGCTAAGCACCAATGTCAGAAGATTAAGACAATGGAACGTGCTAAAGTTGTCGTGGTGTATGCCCCACATGGCAATGGGACCATTCTTCTGTAGCTGGGAGCTATTCAGCAGAGGTCAGGCTGTCACCCCACCAGAAAATGCTCCCCATTGTTCCCCTCAAGGAACCCCACACTTTTCACACATGCACATAGTCGTCTGATCAGCACTGGCTGTGTGGTGCTGTCCTTAGGGAAGAGAGTGACAGGAAGTTTTTACAGGAGAAGTAGAGTGGGAGAGTGAAGCAGGTGCTGGGCCAGATTTGAACGTGATGCTTACAAGGCTTACTTCAGAGCTTTGCATCATGGGTCACACAGCCGTGCTGGGAGAGCTGTGTTGGTTCTGGAAGAGTCCTCTTAGTAGAGACCAATGATTGTGTCTTGGTTGACTGTCCACAAGCTTTCTAAGAACCTAGATGCTACTCACCAAACTCGTACATAGAAAACAAACTTGATAGATGGTGTTGTTCTGTGTGGTCGAGTTGTCCCAGGAGGCTTTGGTCCTGGACTCTGGTCACAAGACGACTGTCCTGATAAACCATTTCCTGGGTGGTGTTTATATATGGAAGGTAATCATTACAGTGTCCCCTGTGTACTCTGTTATGTATGCAAATATGTGTGGCATATGCAAATACGTACATCTCTCCGCCTACAGATACACCTGTATATGAACATGTAAATCCACACAGGTCTCTTCTGTATGTACGTGTGTGTTATAGATCTATCTGCATAACCTGTCCTGCATTTTTCACTTATTACTGTTGCCAAATTATATCTGTTTAGATCTCTTCCCCATTCTTTCATTGGGTTGTCTTTTTATTGTTAAGTAATGAGTTCTTTGTACATCCTAGTCATATGTCTCTTATCAGATACATAGTTCTTCCAAAGTTACAAAACTATGAGCTGTCTTGTTACTTTCTGATGCACCACTTAAAGCACTAAAGTTTCAAATACCAGTGAAGTCTAATGAACCTGCATTCCCAGCTGGCTAAGCTTGTCATGGTTTCTGTGTCCAGACTTCCTTGTGGTCACCATCCTTTCTCAGAAGGCTGTCCTCCTCTGTGGCTACCAGCACATGCACCACTGCCATTGCGGCACTTCCAGCTCCTAGTGGCCACGTTGAACAGAGGTGGGCTTGGCTGCACATACCAGCCACAGGCCACGGTGTTTTCACTTCTCTCACAAGCATGTGGTGACGAGTAAGAAAGCCAGAGAATTGATGCTTTGGATTGTGGTGCTGGCCAAGAATGCTGACTGTGCCTTCGATGCCCAAGAAGAGGCGGACCTGGCCTGTAGGCAGTGCAGGCACAGCGCCCCCTGGAGAGCACGTGCTGGGAACGTGTTACCTGGAGGAACCAGCTCTTCAGTAACGAATCCCGTGTGGAGAGTCGGGGTAGAGGAGACCCCGAGTTGAGCTGGCCCAGGGGCTGCAGTGGTGGCTCGGGCCAGCAGAGGGTGCGGGTGGGGTTGCAGAGAGTTGGAACCACACCTTGTCGCCTAACAACCACAGTCTTTCTGGAAGCAGACCACCAGTTCTTCCCTCCTGGGAGCAGCTGGTGAACTTGAACCTCTGACCTTCCAGTTAGAAGCTAGCACTGAACCACCTCCAGGGCTCCTTTGCACTTCTTACTTTTGGCGCTCCTTGCAGCGTTTCCCCTGATGATTGACTGGACCCCGGCCCCCTTCCTTGGAGCACCTGGGGTGTCTTCGCGTGTCAGCTGTCACGGCCGCTTGGAAGAGGCTGTCGTCTTTGCAGGGAGCCCATGGTTTGGTTTTGCTCCACTAAGGATTTTCTGTAGTTTTCACTGTGACACACTGAGGTGTGCATTCTTTTTACCCATACTACTTGGAATTTCCTGGATTTCTTGAACTTAGAGTGTGTCTTTGGTGATTTCTGCAATTTCTTAGCTTTATCGTCCCATTATATTACCCCCCCCCGCCCCCATTTTTCTCTTCACCTCATGCAGCGGATTAATGGGATGTTACACTCCCATTTATGTCTTTGGTCCGTACTTTCTGGCCCGTCTTTCCCACCCTCATCTTTCCCCCCCGCCGCATCCTGGGAACTGTGGATTCCCCTCGGCTGGTACACCCGTCGGCCGAGCCACATTCCCCTCAACAGAGGGCGTGCTTTAGTGCTCTTGGGTTCTTTGCCCCGGGATTTCTGGGCAGGATGACCCTGTGACTCACTGAGAGGGTCAACGACCTCCCTCTTTGTACTGGCCTCTGGCCTCGTGTTTTCTGGGGAGAGAGCTTCAAGCCAGCACACGTGGCTGAGTGGGGCTGATACCCAGAGCAAGATGCCAGCACTCAGGCTCAGCCTGGTGGCGAGGCGAGCCATGCTTGTGTGGCTCCCCCATCCGCCGTCGGCATGTGTCCGTGCCTGAGGAGGGGCTGAGGGCTGGTGATTGCATTCCAGAGGCTCACTGGGACCCACTGGCCAGGCATTGGGCTGGAGTGTAGGGAAGAGAGTGCATTGTCCCTGTGTTTGTGTGGTGTTTCCATATTCATCTCAGCTGCACTCCCCCAGTGTGTTCAACGAGGATTTTCAACTTGCTCACGTCGCCCTCTCTTCCGTTTTCAGCTGCGTGGGAGTGGAAGAGCACCATGCCTTCGACATCGATCTGTACCACTGTCCCAACTGTGCCCTGCTCCATGGCGCCTCCTTGAGTAAGTACTGGATGTGCAGACACGCAGGCTGACTGCTGCGCTTGCCCCTCCAGCCTTGGAGAAGATGTGGGATGCAGGTCGAGAAGGCATGTAGAAATGAAGAAGGCGTGTAGGATCCAGGCTGAGCAGGCATGTACGCATGTAGGATGCAGGTCTGGACTCTCAATGATGAAAATCTCATCGTTTAACCAGGGTTATGGTTGAGTACAACCTATAGTGACCCTGTAAAGAGCGGATCTTCCCACCCTGCGCCATCTTCACCATCTCAGACACACGTGAGCCGCCCATTGCAGCAGTCACTGTGTCGGTCATCTGATTAGGGTCTTGCTCTCCTTCACTGAGCCTCCACATTTCCAGGCATGATGTCCAAGGAACAGCTTCTTCTAACAATTTGTCTAGAATATGTTAAGTAGTATAGTATCACTTGATCTGGTGAATTTCAGACTTTACCTCCTAATGAGGCCTCTCTGAGGACAGGTGTCAGAAAACAGTCAGCACCAACTCCTGAGGCATATGCAGTCCGAACAGCATTTTCTCCTCCCACCTGCCCGCCCCCGGACCATGGCTGACTGATCCCTGTGGACAGCTTGGGGCTCCTTTCTGCAGATGCCTGCTCAGCTGGGTCAGGGCTGCTGGTGTTTCACATGGGCAGGCCCAACAGGGTTATTTTCTCTTTCTGCTAACTTTCCACAAGTCAGCACATTTATAAGGAAATAAGAATAATTGACAGCTGATTGCACGCCCGACACTACACTAAGTGAGGACGCAGTCGTGCTCTCTCCCGGCTCGATGGGGAGAATTGGTGGCACGGTGACGCGGCCGCGCTGCATTTTGAGCCAGGAGCCCACGCTCTGTCTGGGCCCGCTGTTGTGTACACTGTAGATGGAGACAGGCTCTGTGGATCACCAGTCACATCATTGTGCTTGCTGTGACGGGGCTTGGAGGCAGTCCTGGCGAGAACAGGATTCCTGCCACTTTTTGGAGGCATTGTTGTGGCACAGAGCAGGAATCTCCAATCATCTGCCTCAGCATTTCTAGAAACTCATTCCAAGGAATTAATAAGCAGATCTGTAGATACCAGTATTAATCTCAACATTGTTTGAAGAGAGATTCAGAATGAGCTAAGTATTTTCAGAATCAGAAAATTATTACAATGCAGGCCAATGATGTCTTCAGTTCTGGGCTGCCTTTAAATTGCCTTTGAATTTTTAATGAGGGAAAGTGCTCATGATAGAATAAGGAAAGCACACAGGGTAAACGTTGTGATCCCAGCTGAAGATAGAATGGGGCTGTGTGCATCCCCGCATGTCGGGGGAGAGCCAGGTGTGGAGGCTGCTTGAATTTGGGAAGCAGTTTCAGGTGAGAAGTAGCATCCCTGAGCGGTGGCTGAGCCTCTGCTCCACCAGCGGTGTCAAGTGGCCTCCTGTACTTTATGCACCTTTTTAAGACCTAAGAGGCTCTAGTAGACCGTGTGGTGGTTCTCAGGTTCTCTGTGTATTCCCTTAGAGTCTCACATATGAACAAGCGGTTTCCCACCCGACTGATTATGTCAAGTGACACTCCGTAAGAGGGCCCAGTGGTGTTTCATTGCCATGGCCTTTGTCAAGTGGATGAATGACGTCACTCAGAATCACAGAGTTTTCCTCCCTAATGTTTTGTTATAGAATTGTTCAAACAGAGAGAATCATGACAGAATTTTACAGGGACTGCCTGTGAACTCCCATCTAGATCCTACAAGATTAGCTGCTAGCTTGCAGGACTCCCTTGATCACAGGCCTAGCCCTGGACCATGCCCTAGCTGGCCACCTGGTTTTCAGACGTGTCTCTGGGTTGCTGACCTCAGTCCGTTCCCTCAGCACGTCTTGGGTCTGGACAAGGCCTAGTCCCAAGTGTGTCTCTAAGTTGGATTTGTAGGTGAGTCGGCACAGGTGTGTACGGGTCCCCTTGAGCCTGACTCGGGCGCAGGGCGAGACTCAGAGGGAAGATGCTGGTTGCGAAGAACTGGCTGGACGAGGGCCTGGCCCACACATTTAGTCGTCAGAGCACCGTCTAAAGTCAAAGGGCAAGTGCCAGCTGCCCTGTGCAGACTGTTGGTGACCAGGGACTGCCATGCCTGTTGCGTTTTGGCACTGTTCCAGTTGGTAGGACGTGCCTGTGCATGGCCCGGTGTGCCCTAAGCTGGCATGAGAACAACAGGTCCTTCTGCTCACATGGCTGTAATGTGTCGCCTGTCACCTTCCTTCCTTCCTCCTCTCACAGTGAAAACGCGGAGGAACTGGCATCGACATGACTGCACAGAGGCTGATGACGGCTCCAAGCCGGTGCAGGCGGGGACCAGGGCCTTCGTGAAGGAGCTGCGGGCGCGCGTCTTCCCGAGGTAAGCTCCCCTCGCCCGCCTCGCCCACCTTCTCATGTGTCCTCTTAAAACACAGTAGACTAGAATGAAGTACAGGCACGGAGTAGGCTGCAGCTAGCAGGCTGCATCAGCCTTGTTCTGGGACTTGGCTCCTGTGCAGAGGCCCCGGACTTTCCTTCTGTGGCTCGGGGTCTGAAGTGGTTGAGGTGAGGCCTGTGTCCGGGACACACCCTCATTGAGGTGCGGCCCCTGCTCTCACCTTTCCCGCATGTCCTCTCCCTTGCCGTTGTTCAGATCTCAGGTCTCCGCGCACCAGGCCCACCGGCACACCACACCTATTGTCAGGGCTCTGACTCCAGAGTCAGCAAGCACCACAATGAGCCTCGTCATCGTCTCCGGTCACTGCCTGACTCGCCTTGCTGGCGTCCACACGTGGTCAGAGCCAGGCTGGTGGCAGACGAGAAGCACTTTTTCCATGGGTCTTCATGATGTGGCCGGCCCTGCACCCCACTGGGCTCCTTTAGCAGCTTCCAAATCACAAGACATCTGTTTTTCTTTTTTATTAGCAAATGCTTGGCTTTGTGGGCCCGTGGCATGAGCTCAGGGAGACTTGAGTATCCCCCAGGTGTCTTGTGGTTCCAGCTATGTGTGTGTGAGTGTGTGTACGTACACGCACACACCTACACGTGTGTGTGTCTTTGTGGATGTGCACGTTTCTCAGGGAAGAGATGTCTGAACTTGCATTAGATCTTAGGTTTAAGTAGGACCCGTGACTCAAAAAGAGAAAGATTCTGTGTCTCTCCCTACAATGATGTTTCTTCAGAAGCCCTCCGGACTGCAGTTGTGCTCTGGGCTAGGAGTCGAAATTGACTTGGCAGCAGTCAGCTTGTTCTTCCACAGGCTGGAGGGAACATGATGCAGCTCTGACTGCCCAGGGGTAAGGAGCTCTGCTGCCAATGTAAAAGCAGGTGGGTTCCAATCCCCCGGCTGCTCCAAGGGAGAAGGACGGGCAGTCTCCTCCCATGTGATTTACAGCCTCTGAAAACGTGCTGGCGGGTCAGCAGTGGGTCGGTTCCGACTGGACAGCCTGTACCAGCCTGCAGCTTTGCGGCCACAATGAATGTGCATGAGAGCAGAGGCCAGTGAGACGGTCACCGATGCCCACTGTGGTGTTACTGTTCATTACAGGCCTTTGGCTTTATTTTGCTTTAATGTCGTTAGCCTTTAAAAACTTGCTTATTAACAAAAAGGACTAGGCTGCACATACTCGATGTGATTCCACAGAATGGTGTAAAGCTAGTGAGCGTCACCCCCTGTCATTCTGCTTCGTGTCAGTCAGAAGAAAGCCTCACGGGATTTACACCGGACAAGTGGCAGCCCGGGATGCTGGTCATGGTGCACAGTGCACGTGGTCCTGTGTCCTGTGCTGCCTGGGAGTGTCCAGCAGATACTCCAGAGAGTTCTGTAGAACTCTTACCAGTGGAAGCTACATTGACGGCAGTGGCAAAAAATAAGGTCCCAGGAATCAATGGGAACCAATTGACTTGTTTCAGTTAACACGTTCAGCCTTGGATGCACTCATCAGTCTATGCCAGGAAGTTTGGAGGACAGTTGTCTGGCCAACAGATTGGAAGAGGTCTATATTTGTTCCTATTCCCAAGAAGGGAGATTCAACTGAATGTGAAAGTTACTGAACAATATCATCTATATCACATGCTAGCAAAATCATTAAAAAAATGTCTGGAACAGTCCAGAGATAGGGAATTGCCAGAAGTTCAAGCAGGATTTAGAAGAGGCCCTGGCACCAGGGATATCATTGCTGATGTCAGATGGATCCTGGCTGAAAATAAGGAATACCAGAAGATTGTCTATTTGTACTTTATTGACTATGCAAAGGCATTTGACTGTGTGGATCTTGACACGTTGTGGCTGACAGTGAGAAGAATGGGAATCGCAGAGCACTTGATTGTGCTCAGGAGGAACCTCTACCTGGAGCAGGAGGCTGTTGTGTGAACAGAGCAGGGGAGTAGGGAATTGGGAAGGGAATGTGTCAGGGATTTATTCTGTCTCCATACCTATTCAGTCTATATGTTGAACAAATTATCCAAGAAGCTATGAAGAGGAGCGTGGCGTCTGGGTTGGACAAACTTACTTGTTGAAGATGAGGAGGACTTGAAGCGCTTGTTGCAGAAGATCAAGGAATGCCGCCTTCAGTATGGCTTGTATCTCAATATCAAGAAAACAAAGCTTCTTACCTCTGGACCAATAGGCAGTGTCGTGATGGATAGAGAGGAGATTGAAACTGTCAACAGCTTCGTCTTGCTTGGATCCACAGTTAACACCCTAAGTACAAGCAATTAGAAAATAAGGAAACACATTGCAATGGGGAAATTTGCAGTTAGGGACCTTTCCAAATTATGGAGGAGTAGAGATGTCAGTTTGAGGACTATGGTGTGTCTGATTCAGGCCCTGTCTTTCCGATTACTAGCTATGCATTTAAAACCTGGGTAATAAATAAGGATAACAGAAAAGAATTGATGCCTTTGAGCTGTGGTGTTGGAGAAGAGCACTGAAGAGCCCATGGACAGCCAAGAAAATGAATAGCCATGTCTAGGAGAGGGTGCCGTCAGAGTGTTCTATGGAGGCAAGGTTGATGAGGCTTTGCCTTATATACTTTGGACATGTTGCTAGGAGAGGCTGCTATTCCTTAGAGAGGGACATGATGTTGGGAAAGGTGAAGGGTCAGTGAAGGAGAGGAAGACCTCCCGCCAGGTGGATTGACACAGTGACTGCTACTATGGGCTCTTGTGTGTCAGGAAGTGTGAGGACGGTGCAGGATAGAAAGGCGTCAGATCTGTGTTCACAGGGTCGCTATGACTCATACTCAACTTGATGGCACCTAACAACAACAACAACAACATATTAGAGTCAGTGGCTTTTAGTACCTGTGGATTTTAGGAGAGTACAAGGAAGTTTTCAGAACATTTTTATAACATGTGGAATTACATATGATCGTGTGAGACCCTTCCAGATAACCATATGATAATAATATAAATAATGTGCACAGTGTTAAGGACCCACGATATGTACAACCAAATCCACAAAAGTCATTGCTGTCCACTTGGCTCTGACTGACCCTGCAGGACACAGCACTGACCTGCTTAGGCTCCAAGGCTGTAAATCTTCACACACACGGACGGTCCCATCTCTCTCCCATAACGGCTGCTCCTGGTTTCAAACCACCACCCTTTTTGCTAGCAGCCAAGTGCCCTAGCCACCGTGCCAGCCAAGCCCCAGCGTGCTGTACACACCCCCGTCAGGCCGCGGATGTAATCTAGGTGCCTAGTGTGAACTGACCGTCTTAACAGAGGTGGCGTCTGTGCTTCTCTCCCCAGCGCTGACGACGTGATTGTGAAGATGCATGGTGGCCAGCTGACACACAGATACCTGGAGAAGCATGGATTCGACGTCCCCATCATGGTCCCCAAATTAGATGACCTGGGGCTCAGGCTCCCACCACCGACTTTTTCTGTGGTGGACGTGGAACGTTACGTAGGTAGGAACTTGACTCCATTGAGTACTTGGGAAGACAAGGTAAATGGGAAAGAAAAACAGTGTTCCAGAGTATTCCAATCAAGTTGAAGGAAGAAATGTTCGTTTAGTTTCTGGTTTTAGAGAAAATAGAATCTAATACCATTTGCTTGTACGAGTTGTTAGAAAAGCAGGAGTGAACTTTTTGAGTCTCATCATGTGCTTTTAGAGTCAGTGGACTTTCTGGTACTGGATCAAAGGAAACCCTTAACAAGGTTAGTCAGGTGAGGCTTCAGACTGCCGGAGAAAGCCGACGTCTGCGCGTTGGCCCAGCTCTTGGCACCCGACCGTGGCTTTTGGAAAAGTGAAAGGTCCTACGAGAGGGAGGAAGGCCCTCAGTGTGATGGATGACTCGCTGGGTGCAGCAGTGGGCCAGGCTCGGCGGTGAGTGGGAGGGGGGCACAGCCCCTGGCGTGGGTTCCTGGGAGTCCGAGCCCGCTCTGCAGCTAGACCACAGCTGATCCCAATGTGAGGTCCTTGCTCAGCACCCCAGTGCCCTTCCCTTGTCATTGAAGGGTCCTCTGGGGCCCATGGTGGTGACCTCGGGCTGCTCAGAGGACGGACTGCAGGAAAGGAAGCCCTCCCACATCTGCCTGATGCTTGTCAGGACTTGTAGCCTTAATGCAGGATTTTGAAACCTAGAGAGGCTTAAAGGACGAGGTGAAAACCCCGCTTCTGCTACGCTATGCAGCGTCTTGTTGGCTCTTGTCGTGGTGCTAAGAGGTTATAGCCCCTCGTTGTCATCCAGTCCGAGCCAGCAGAGCTGACCCTGAGCCCGTTTCCAGGGCTGGTATTTCTCACACCCTCACTGCCTTTGGCTTTGCAGTGCTGCTCCTTACGGATCTGCCCCAGAGCGCCCCAGGCCGAGCAGGCCACCTTGCCAGGTGTGGCTGTTGTTCACGTCAGCAGTAGAGCACTTGAGGATTAGCCCCTCAGCGCACCCTTCCTCCATGTGCCGTTTCCACTCCAGCCCACGAGCTCCCAGCACGAGAGCCCTGAGACAAGTGCCTGTTGGCGAACCATTAGCGACAGACTGTTCCCAGAGGAAACCCTTCCACTGCAGTGGCTTTCGGTCAGTCACACGACTGAGGTTAACCATGCCCCTTGTGACGGCACATAGATAACCAAAACCAACCGGCCTGCTGGAGTCAAGGCCACCCTGCAGGACAGAGCACAACTGCCCTGTAGGGTTAGCAAGGCCGCAGACCTTCAGGTGACAGACCTCACCTTTCTCCACAAGAACCACTGACCTTCAGCGGGCAGCTCACCACTTCTTGTTGTTGTTAGGTGCCGTCAGGTACAACGCATAGCAACCCTGTGACCAAAAGACCTGAACCTTGTTCTGTCCGGTGCCCTCCTCACACTTCCTGACACACAGGAGCCATCGCAGCGGTCACCGCGTCAGCCCACCTGGTTGAGGGTCTTCCTCTCCTTCGCCAGCCCTCCACCTTTCCCACCATCATGTCCTTTTCCAAGAAACAGCCCCTCCTAGTAATATGTCCAGAGCATGTGAGGTGAAGCCTCATCATTCTTGCCTCCAAAGAGCACTCCGGCAGCACTCTCTCCAAGACAGATCTGTTCTCTTGGCCGTCCATGGGATGTCCAGTGCTCCTCTCCCACACCACAGCACAAAGGCTTCATTTCTTTTTCTGTCATTCTTTTTTTTTCTTTTTATTTTATTGTTTTCTCTGTGTGTGTGTACCATCAAATTGGATCTGACTGGTCCAGGAGGAGATGGCCCCTCCTTCTCCAGCAGAGCATCTGGTGGATTCAAACCACAAATCTCTGGGATTGCAGTGCACCTTCTTGCCACTAGGCCTCCAGAGCTCCCCACTTTTTCTGTCATTCTTATTCATTGTCCAGCTTTCAGATGCCTAGCAAATGATGTGTGGCCTGAATTAGACACACCTTAGTCCTAAAACTGACATCATTACTCCTCAGTCTTTTGGAGAGGTTCCTAACTTAACTTGTTGTTGTTGATTGCTGTTGAGTCGAGCACAACTCATAGCAACCCTATGAACAAAAGGCCTAAAGTCTATAACTATTGTTGTTTCTCAAAGTTTATAGAGAGAGCTTCCCGAGGCATGCTGTTTAGGAAGTTAGCCCTGTGAAATAAATGCAAGTTGATAGTAAGTCCTGGAGGGTAGGTTTAAATTGCAGAGTAGCTGGCTTTCCAGCATGCCTTGACATGCTTTTTCCTCAGTTCATACCTGTGACACAATGTCTGGTCTCCTAAAGGTAAGTCATGTAGACTTGGCAATGCCCCCGTAGCCTCAGCCAAGTTATGTTACAGTAAGAACAGAGCCTCTGCTTCAGGTGAGCCGAGGTTGCCCTATGATGAAGTACACCTTCTCCTACAGGGTATGGCAGGATTAGGACACGGGACACTTCCAGATGACAGGAGCTGTAGAGTGACCTCACTTCCAGGCACTAGTGCAAGCCCCCTTTTGCTCTCCACACTCTTGTTTATCTCTTGAAGCCAAGTACCAGGGAGAGGCGTGGCACAGCTTCAGGTCCTCCTGGCCTGCCTGGTTCCCAACCACCACTGACTGATCTGGCTTGGAAATGAGAGAGATCTTGACTTTTCAAAGTTTGTGTTGAGCAAGCCCCTTGATTTAAGAGTGAGGAGACAGACCTCAGAGCACCTACCTTCTGACCTGCCAGTGGGATGTGTTCTGCACGTAGAAAGTCCTAGGTGGGAAGAGAGTGGCACAGGCCGGTCAGCTTCACCCCAACAGTCAGCTTCACCCCAGGGTCAGCTTCACCCTCAGGGTCAGCTTCACTCGTGGGGCACTAGTGCCGGGCTGATGTGTTCTGCTCCTCTCCAGGAAGTTCATTCTTTCAAAAGTGAGACTCCAGGAAGAACTTTGATTTAGGTGATGCAGTTTTACAGATGACTTAACTATGATGCCATGTAAATATGCTCTTAAAATACTTTTGTGAGGCCATCTGTTGACATGACCCTTAAGGCCAATGTTATATGTCAGTGAGTTGGAACTGACTCATAGCTGACCCTCCGATGAGCTTTCTGAGCAGTAAATCTCAAGGAGGACATTGCCCATGTGTCTCCCCTACAGCGGCAGGTGCCCACAAGCCATGTGCTTTTGCGTTGGCAGTGCACTGTCTTACCGCTAAGCTGCCAGTGCTCCCTTCATCTACTGTTAGATGCTGTTGAGTCAAGTACAACTCACAGCGAGGCTGTGGACATCAGATCTGAACCTTGTCCTATTGTGCACCTTCCTCATGGTCTCTGACACACTTGAGCCTGTTAATTTGTCAGTACAGCTCAAAGAGGGTCTTCCTCTCTTTCTCTGTCTCTCCACATTTCCAAGCATAATGTCCCCATCTAAGGAAGAGTCTCTTTTAGCAACATGCCCAAGATTTGTGAGGCGAAGCCTTGTCCTCTCTGCCTCCAAGGAGCGCTCGGGTCGTACCTCCTCTTGGGCAGATCTGTTTGTGCTTTTGGCATCCCCGGGATGTGCACCACTCCTCTCCAGCACCACAGCTCCAAGGCATCAGTTCTTCTTAAGCCGAATGGTAAACCTTATTTCTGTCTGCAGGTGGTGACAAAGTGATTGATGTCATTGACGTGGCAAGGCAGGCGGACAGCAAAATGACACTGCACAACTACGTCAAATACTTCACAAATCCTAACAGGCCCAAAGTGTTGAATGTTATCAGCCTTGAGTTTTCAGATACCAAGTGAGTAGCCCTGTCTGCCCTGGGCTGACATTTTGGCTATTCGTTAAATGGGGTTTAAGGATCTGTTTATTTCAGTAAGAAACTTTGTGACTTCCAGAGTGGCTCTGTGGGGCCAGTGCGTGCTGGGAATTTTGCTCTGAAACTCTAGGACAGTACTTAGAAATAGAGGGTTTAAACAGAAAATCTTCCTACAACTAGAAGAGAACACAATAGATGAATGGGACCTTCTAAGAATTAAGTCCCAACACACATCAAAAAACTCCAACAGGGCAAAAAAGAAAGCCACAGACTGGGAAAAAATATCTGGCAATGATTTATCTGATAAGGGACCCCTATCTAAAATTTATAGAATACTCAAACACCTCAAAAAGCAAAAGGTAAACAATCCAGTCACAAAATGGGCACAGGATATGAACAGACACTTCACCAAAGAAGACATTCAGATGACACACAGACACATGAAAAAATACTCAAAATTTCTAGCCATCAGAGAGTTGCAAATAAAAACAACTTTAAGATTTTATCTCACCCCAGTAATAATAGTAAAGTTCAACAGAACAGCAAACAACAAATGCTGGTGAGGTTGTGGAGAGATTGGAACCCTTATTCACCGCTGGTGAGAGCGTAAAATGGTGCAGCTACTATGGAAAGCGGTCTGGCGCTTTCTCAAAACATTTGAAATAGAAATACCACGTGACCCAGCAATTCCATTACTGGGAATATACCCTAAAGAAACCAGAACCACCATCCAGACGGATGTATGCAAACTCATGTTTATTGCTGCGTTAGTCGCAATAGCAAAGAAATGGATACAACCCCAGTGCCTGTGAACAAACGAATGGATAGAAAAACGGGTATATTCCCACAATAGAATACTACGCAGCACTGAAAAACTGAACTCATAAAACATTACACAACATGGGTGACCCTGGAGGACATAATGCTGAGTGAAATATCTTGGTCACAAGAGTACAAAGACTGTATAACGCCACTGTTACAAAGCAGGACTGACATGAGGGGTTGGGAGGAGAACGGGACAGATAACCAGCACTGCACTGGAGCAGAGGCAGGAAAGGCTGTTTGAAAGGACTCTGTGATCAGGCATTATATGCCTGACTACAACCCAGAAGAAGAGGTGCAGAGAGGACCGGGGGGAGCAAGGGAGGAAACTGGACAGCAATGAATGAATATTTAAAAAAGTCAACTGAGGGGAAAGGAAGGAGGAGGGAGAAAACTGTGCAGAATGAATGAATGAAAATCCAACTTTCTGTAAACTTTTGTTAAAATCACAATTAAAAGAATAGGTTTTATTTAAGAGAATAACCTGGAAGTCGTGTTAACCGTATGTTCCAGTTCATTGCTTATTTGGGCTAAGAAGAGAGTGGCTGCTGTAAAAGTTTACCTTTGATGATGTGCTTGTACATAATGTGTGTCGTTTGTTTTTTAAAGGATGTCTGAGCTGGTGGAGGTCCCCGATATAGCCAGAAAACTTTCCTGGGTGGAGAATTACTGGCCCGATGACTCAGTCTTCCCCAAGCCCTTCGTGCAGAAGTACTGCTTAATGGGTGTTGAGGACAGCTACACAGACTTCCACATTGATTTTGGGGGCACTTCAGTCTGGTACCATGTCCTCTGGGTAAGACTCCAGTATTCCTTTCTTCTCTTGTCGACAGAAAAAGTCATGTTTTTCCAGCAGGGTGTTTTCGAGAAGTCACTGTAAACATGGCTTTTGATTTTTTAAAAATTGTTGAGATTTTAATAAATCAATCAGTTACTTGGGATAAAACAAGAAGTCGGCATTCAGCTATTGAGTGAAGAGTTCGTGGTCTTTATTCCTGCAGAAACTTCTTTTATCTCTTTTTATTTACTTTTTTTCTTTTCCAAGTACCAGTGGACTTTGGAGATATCGCAGGTTTGGTTTGAAACTGCTGCAGTAAAACAAATATTGCCATAAAGCCAGTCACAGAGTTTTGGGTTTCCTGGTGCACCTGGAAGTTATGTTTACAGTGTACTAAAGTCTAGTTAATGTGCAATAGCATGATTAAAAGTTTGAAATTTTGTGAGAATTACCAATATATGACATAGACATGAAGTGAGTTTGAAAAATGTTGCTAATAAATATGTTTGACCTAAGATTACCACAGACTTTCCGTTTATTAAGAGGGAAAAAACCTACACACTCCTTGTGAAGCTCAGTGAAGAGATGTCTGCCTTTGTGGAGAGCTCAGGGTCTTGGTTTATATGTAGGTTCCTTCTGGCCTAGTGGTAAGGAATTACACTCCCAACCCAAAGACAGGTGGTTCAAATCCACCAGCTGCTTCCTGGGAGAAAGATGGACTGTTTCCTCCTGTGTGATTGATAGCCTTTGAAAACCCGCTGGAGGCTGAGCTATGAGTCGAGGGCAGTGAGTTTGAGGTATTTGTTTGCCTTCCAGCTTTGAACCTGGTTTCTCTTAGCCTTTTGCTTTTATTGGTTGCCGTTTTGCTGTAGTCAGTTATCAAGTTCTTCCTGAATCAGGGACTGGAGAAGGACCAAAACCAGTGTATTAGCAGTTTATGGCGACAAGGTCAGTCTGGGACAGCTGGATAAGGCAGGAATGACCACACCATTGCCACTTCTTTATAACTGAGGTGTGCTGTGTGATATAATAGCCACTAGCCAGATGTGGTTGTTTACATTTAATCGGTTAAAATTTAAAAACCAAAGCCGACCCCAGCTATTGTCAGTTTCACAACAGGACCCCCAGAGCAGAACTGTGCTGTGGAGGGTGGTGGACAGCCACATTTTCAGAGGTTCCTCCACAGGCCTGTCTGTGGCCTGGAACATCCAACCCTTCAGTTCATAGTCACCTGGGAGTCTAAACTAGGTGAGATACAGCTCAGCCTTCAGGTCCTCAGCTGCACTTCCACACGGATGTGCCAGCAGCCCCACGTGGCTGTCTGGGGGCCAGAAACTTGCATCCTCACACGAGCTTTCTGGGCCGAGCAGCCTCGCCTCCACAGTGCTGTGGACGCTGGCCGACCCTGAGGCCTCCAACCCTGGCCTCCCTTTTTCTTCATGAGGAAACAAGCAGCAGCTTAGGTCACGGAAGGAAGTTTGCCTGGAGAGTTTAAGATTTCGTCACAGTGTGGATCTTGAAAGAGGACAGGGTGGCCACAGTGACTGTAACGGGCCTGGCGCGTGGGGTCCTTGTCACTGCTCAGCTCCCTTCTCGTCCTGGGACCTCTAGTGCTCCCCGACTGCTGCCCGTCCCATTGGGGAAGATGTTGAGTAATGGCAGTAGTGAGACCTGGTGTCTTCAGTGTTGCCTAGGGGAACCTAGGCCATCCTAAAGATGGCACACACTTTATCAAAATCCGTGCGATTGCTTGCTTCTAGGGTGAGAAGATTTTTTACTTAATAAAACCAACAGATGAGAACTTGGCCCTCTATGAATCTTGGAGCTCCTCTGTGACCCAGAGTGAGGTGTTCTTCGGAGAGAAGGTGGACAGTTGCTACAAGTGTGTGGTGAAGCAGGGACACACCTTATTTGTTCCCACAGGTGAGGCTCTCCCCAGCCCCCACACCCCACCTCCTCTCCCATTCCCAGCTGGGCCAGGGGCCGGTTCTCCACGTCTGTGACAGCACCTGTAGGTTGCCTGTGGATGTCAGTGTCTGGGTGTGGTCTGAAGGGAGCTCTGTGAGTGTTGTGCAGAGCTGTCGGGCTGCCTCACCTCTGGGGGGTGGGGTGGGTGTGTGAGAGAGACAGAGAGAGAGAGAGATGGCACCCCGGCTCCTACATATAAATCACTTCAGAAAACCAGCCTGTGAGAAAGAGGGGGAGGGGAGGGGCTGGATGGAGCGCTTTGTGTCCCCACAAGCCCTTGTAAATCTGAACCTGCTCTTGATGTAAAAGATGAAATTCAGGTAGTTTGTTGTAGAGTGCTGCGTCACCGTGTGTCTGCGGGGCCTGAACCAGAATGCGGGAAGGCGAGGAGACGCTGTGCCAAGGCCATGGCCCTCTGGGCACATACATGATCACCACTTAGGTCAGACCGCTTTTCTTACTCTGTTAAATACAGCAAGAAAAGAATGGGACTGAAAGCAGGTGTATGCGTGCAGACACGTGTACATGTGGATTTGCTTGATGGGAAGTCTTTATCTGTGTTCTGTGGACAGTTCTTTAAGAAATTAGGCATCAGCTCGCAGAAATCATTCCTTTTTAAAGCTTTTTTTTTTTAATGGGCAAAGAAATCATAACTTAGCATAAATCAGAAGACCCATCTGATCATGGTAACTTTGGAGGCCAGAGGAGGGTGGCCCAGACGGTCGCCCCGGGTGGGGTCCTCTCAGAAGCACTCTGCCTCCACCTTCTCCGTGATGGGGCTGGTGGGCTCAAACTGCTAACCTTTCAGTTAGTCCTGCCAACGCTGCTTCATGAAACCCAGTCCAGCCTACTGCCCTGACCCCAGTGACCCTCCATTAGCTCTCCAAGCTGTGAATCTTCGAGAGGGGACTTCTGGCACTCGTCCTTAGAATGCCTGGTAGAATCGAACCACTGACCTTTTGGTTAGCAGTGTAACATGTAGCATTCCACAGAACTATAAAAAGTGAGTCATAACGAAGGCCCTGGGGGCCTAGTGGCAAGAAGCTGTGCTGCTATCCCAGAGGCACGCAGTTCGAATCCACTGGCTCCTCTGTAAGAGAAGGATGGGCAGTCACCTCTTGTGTGATTAACTGTCTCTGAAGACCTGCTGGGGAGTCAGCCGTGGGTTGGTTCCCACTCAGTGGCACACAACAGCAACAACAACAGAGACCCTTTTCTGTGGAGTCGGCACCCTTCCTCGGACCTCAGCCCTCTGATTCTGTGTGGCAGGGCTGCCTTGTCACTCCCTGGGGTCAGTCTCCACAGGGCAGGGTCTCCACAGGCTCTGCAGTCTCCTGTCTGCGTGGACCTCGTGTGTAGGCCCTGCAGGGTGACACCTCTGGGCGGCATGCTCCCAGTCCAGGGCATTTTCCTGATCCAGGCTCCTGTGCCTTGGCTGGTGTCACCCCTTTAAGGGAGAGCTGCTTTTAAACCCGGAGGCAAGGACAGCTACAGAGTCCTTCACTTTGGTGTTGTGCCGCGGCCCTCAGCACAGAGCCGGCCTGAACGGGTGCAGAAGCTGTGTGTGAGTCTGTTGACCGTGGGGGGCGCTGGCCTCTCCCCCAGCGCTGGCTTGGGCACATGTCCCAGCAGTGGCCCCAGCCGTGGTGCGACGTGGCCCAGGTGCTAACCGTGGTTGCCCCGTGTCTTCTGCTGCAGGGTGGATCCACGCTGTGCTCACCTCTCAGGACTGCATGGCGTTTGGGGGCAACTTCCTGCACAACCTCAACATCGGCATGCAGCTCAGGTCAGTCCCGGGGCCCACGGGCCGGCCCTCTCAGGAGGAGGGCCTGCTCTCAGGTGTCAGGCGGTGAACCTGGGAGGAGACAGGCGCAGGCAGTGAGGAGGGACAGCCAGAGTGTCACCCTGGAGAATGCTGGTGGGGTGAGCTTAGTGTGTTTAAGTCAAGAATGAAAAAGTGGGTTCTGCGGGAACCTGCACGTCTGCTGGTTGTTAACACCGTGTGACGTGCTTGTGGCCTCCTGTGTCCATGACCGCTCGAAGGCGGCCATCCAGTCGGACTCAGGTGCACAGCAGCCCCACTTAGGATGTCAGCTTTCCCTGCTTGGGCAGTGACCACTGGGTGACTGTCCCCTAAGAGTCTGATGGAGGCAGAGGTGCTCACAGTGAAGAAGACCCCCCACTAGCAGGAGAAGCACCTGGCAGGAAGCCGACTGACCGGTGTGCCGCTCGACACGCACAGGTGATGTGTCTGTGAGGTCGTCTAGTCGCGTTGGCTCCTGCAGCTTGGATCTGGACTCCAGGCCGAGGCTCTGGGCGCTGTGGACCTGAGCTGATGCTGGGCAGAAAATTCCTGAGTGTCTGCCTGCTTGGGGGACCCCACAGAGAGCCCCAGAGTGGCCAGTGTGGGTCCCACCTGCTCACCTTCCGAGTGGCCTAGTCACATAGATGCTGGGAACTGAAGCATCCCCTCCGGCCTGCTGGTGTGGCCCTTGTCCAGTCCAGGGAGCTGTTCTCTCAGCACACAAGTTTGATTTGTCCTGCGTTGTCTGGTAGAGCTGCATGCACACCTGGGATGCCATCTTCACTGTCATCCTGAAGGACTGGGGGAGGCTGTCATCCTGCCTGGCCTACCTGGGGCAGTTTGGTTCTAGACAGTGCCTGGCTGTTTTTACCTGGCGGGCCTGGTGCATTTACTTTTTGACGTTGGTTGCTTACTTTTGATTTTGAAATGTTAATGTGAAATATTTCTTCAAATTGTGTTCATCTAGGTGTTATGAGATGGAGAAAAGGCTAAAAACACCAGATCTTTTCAAATTTCCTTTCTTTGAAGCCATATGTTGGTTCGTAGCCAAAAACTTGCTGGAAACCCTGAAGGGTAAGGATGTGTGCATCTGTGGTGTCATGCACGCTGTTGTTTGTGTGAATGTTTGTATGTTGTATGATACTTGGAAATCACAGCCGCCTGCCCAAAAGAGAGGGTGTGACCACCACCCCATATTGTTTCTTAAATACGTGATTTCTCCCACGGAGAGTCGGAGCCTTTGTGGGTCCCAGATGACAGAGCTGTTGATGGAAAGCGATCCTCTCACCTAGGTGTTCATTGCAAAGATTCGGGGGTGACAGGCTGTGCTGGCGGGTCAGGATAGAAGATTGTTTTCAGGACCCACACTTTACCAGCCTGCAGTCTGATGGGGTGTCACCCTCTGACTCTGTAATGGAAGGAAATTCGTTTAAAGGTCCCTCTCTGGAAACTCATAAAGTCTTGGAACTGGAGCTCCGGCATTTGGTGTGAGTCAGTGCCCTCTGAGCAGTGAGGCGTCCGAGCAGGAAGTTGTTCTGTCTGCCCCTTTCTTCTCTTGACGCACGTGAGCTGGAGAGATGCCGTGTTTGCATGGCTGCTTCTGGATCGTCTGGCGTTGTCATTGTGCTGCTGTGCTAACTGCTCCAGCCGACCAGTGGGAAGGCCGTCCTGAACGCCTGATAGATTAAAGTGCGGGTCTGCTGACCCGGTTCTGCCCCGGAGCTGCCCCTCAGGCTTTCCCAGGCTGCCGTCTGTGTGACGCATCTGCTGCATCTGTATAGAATGGAAGCGGCACCAGCATGCACACAGCTGAAATGGTTCTGTCATTTACGGTCTTTTCCTGTAAAGACACCCACTTCCCTGTGTGGAAGGAAAGTGGAGCAGACCCAAAACCTCCCCTGGGCAGTGCAGCACGCAGGCTGATGTCTGGGTGGCAAGCACGGTGTGTCCTCGTGAGTGGGCGGAGTGTCCCTTCTCCTTAGACCAGGTCATCACGTGCCACTGTCCCAGCACGGGGTCCTTCATGGACACATGCAGCGTTAGCAAGCGCTCTCCATGCCTGCAGGACTGCCCCGGTGGACTGTAAGTGCTGCTTGGTCACAGTGCCCATCTTCCTACCCGAACGCAGCCTGGGAGGGCGGGAATGTGCAGAAGGACATGTGCAGAGCGTCACAAATGGCTTTCTTTTCTGGAAAGAAAATTTAACGGTTGAACTCTCTGGTTACAGGTCTAGCAAGTCTGAGCTGTTCAGAGCACCCTTGTCTCCTTTGTCCCAGGGTCTCCACATTACACACACACACACACACACACACACACACACACACACACACCCTTGAGGTGGTACACAGTTTTTGTTTCTTCGTGTCTGAGAGACACCCATCAACCTTCTAGAACAAATTAAAGTGTTCACTGAAAAACAGTCTTGTGCTTAGAGCAACAAATTGTTTAGTGTTAGAATAACAAAGTCTATTTTTGGCCTTCAAGGGTTCAGAAATACTGAATTTGGTTGTAAGCATGTCTCCCTACAGGAAGGCCTTTTTAACACACCGCTGTTGTCCATGCCTGTTAGTCCTTTGGTTTTGTTCTGTCTTCTTTGCTCTGGATATGATAGACCAGTAGTCTCCATGAGCCTGAGTCCAGAACTAGATAGTTCTGGTCACCACTGCTGACTATTCGGAAACAGTCTAAGATCATCGCTCTTGTAACAGGAACAAGAGAAGGTCCATGACAGAGTGAGAGGAAAATGTGGGGCAGAATCACCAATAAGATACAAGCTGGCGATGTGATAGAGACATGGTGGGACCCCCGAGATTGTGGCTCCTCGTCCCCCGTCAGGCGTGGCCCTGAAGGCACCCGGTGACTCACCTTCCAATAAAACGTGAGCCAGGCCTATAGAGTGAACAGCCACCCAGGGAGGAGCACACCCCTTCCAATAGTCAGTCAGCACAGGGTCTGCCCAGGAAGGAAACTTAGCAGCCAGGGAGGGACAGGAGCTGGGAATGAGCTGGGAGTGTGTTACACTGGGGGATCGGCAAGACCACGCTTGTGAGGGGTGGGGTGGAAAACCAGTGCACCTTATAAACTTCCACTCAAATCACAATTTGAAAAATACCAGGAGGATATTTTTAGGTAAAATTTAAAATAGATTTGTTTAGGGTGCCTGACGGTTCTAGGGATTCTGTCCAGCCTCCTAGATCCTGTGGCCATAACACCTGTTGTTATCAGCTGGTTTCTGTCCAGGGCGGTCTTGTTCCCACACCTTCTAGTCTTTCTTCCACCCCTTGATCTTTAGCTTCCCACGAGGCTGTAGTGAGGGAGCTCTGGTGGCCTCGTCTGTAGGGAGCTGCACTGCTCACCTGTAGGTGGCTGGTGTGATTCCACCAGCTGTCTGAGGGAGAAGGATGGATAGTGTCCGCCCGTGTGATTACAGCCCCCAGAGGCCTGCTGGGGCTTCCGCTGCGAGTGTCTTCTGACTTGACAGCAGTTGGGCTGTGTGAGTGACGGCCGGCCGGCGGCAGCTCTTCTGTGGGCTCCTCGTTGCACGTCGGCGGCTAGCAGCCCCTGCGGGTTGGGGAAGGGACCAGCCCGAGGCAGAATGGACTCTTTCCCTCTTGCCTCAATGCGTCTGAGTTTGGACCACATATGACATATTTTGAGTTTTAGATAATCACGATTTGGTTAAAACACCCAAAAAAATCACTTGATTTTAGTAACACTTATTTGTGCTTTAGATGAAAGCTAACATAGTAAATAGGTTTCCCAAGTGAGCAGTTCACTCACAGATGGTTCCGTGGCTTGTGTGGCTGGGAACCGATGCCCTTTGCAGATGCTGGTCGAGGTGTTTCCCAGGGACGTGGGCCCGTTAACTGTGCACGGGAGCTGCCTGATTCTTTTGTTGCATCTTCTTTGTGTTAAGTCCACTGTGATTACGGAATTGCTTTATTTCTCCTTTTTATGACGATTATTTTCTGTATTAGCAGTTTATGTCTTTAAGTACATACTAATTTTTTAAGTGTTGTGGGTTTCCCCCCTGTTTTTATTACCAGTTTTAATGAAAATTTACAGAGACTTTGGGTTTCCATTTATTCATTGTTGCACTTTTCTCCCTGCCCTCCTCTGCCCCCTCCCTGTGTTTTTTCTGGCTAAGCTTTTATAGCTATAATTTGTGTATTTTCTTACTATGAGATGAATGATGCTTTATTAGTAGTAGTTTATAAATATACTGTTCCTTTGAAATGAATAGTATATGACACCACTTTTCATTTGAAAGCTTCATATCTCTTCTCCATCTATGTAGAAGTAGTCTGTATTGTTTAGATGCTATGAATGTGTTTTAAGTTTCTCTCTAAACACAGTGAGCCAATCTTTTAATGAGAAATTTAATAAATGTACATTTGATGTAATTTTACTGTTTAACTCCTCTCTTGTCTCTTCTGTTAATTTGGAGGTTGATCCCCTTCTATTGGTGAATTAAAATCTGAAGTGACGCTCTGTCGTCTTCTGTCAGAACTGACAGCTGTCCCCCTCCTGCCTCCCCACAGAGCTGAGAGAAGACGGTTTCCAGCCTCAGACCTACCTGGTGCGGGGCGTGAAAGCGCTGCACACTGCTTTAAAACTGTGGATGAAGAAAGAAGTAAGTCATTTCTCCTGGTAAAATACGAGTTATTTACCCATGTGGAGAGCCTAGGAAACTGTCTTCATGTGGCTTTGGCAGCCCTGAGAGCTGTAGTAGCTGAGGGATTGGAAATGATGCTTGAAATACAACACAATCTGTTCAGAGGTACTGACGTCGCTCTGGAAGATGGTCCCTTGAGTGCATCCAGGGAGATGGCCAAGACATGATGCTGCACCAGGGACTGTGCTGAGCCTTTCTAGATGTGACCTCACGTGACCCTCAGAGCACCTGCATGAGAGCGGGGTGCTGTCGCTGCCCGCGCATAGCTAGGAAAGCTGAGGTTCTGAGTGCTGAAGGAACGTGCTCGTAGTAACTGTTGGAGCTGGGCCCGAAACCTGGGTCCCTGCACGTGCAGTTATAGTCACTCTGCTCAAGCAGGTCATTGCCATTGAGGCGGGGCCAGCTCACAGCTCCGCTTCCAGCAGGTGTCCAGAAGCTGGAGTCACTGCTCAGGCAGGTAGTCAGTGCTGTTGCGATGGGACCAGTCACGGCTGAGTCTCCAGCAGGTGTGCAGAAGCTGAACGTTGCACAGGAAGAGATTACCCATCCTTCACCCCCAGAGCACCGGGTGGATTTGAACTGCCTGCCTTTGAGTTGACAGCACAGCTCCTTCCTCTTTAGGCCACCAGAGGTCTCTCAACCATTCTGCTAGATTTACATAAACGAAAGGAGAGTTGAGGCTTTGAGCAAAGCTTTCGATATTTACTAAAATGTCTGGTGGTTTGCATTTGAATCTCCCTGCCTTCAAGAGTGCATCCCTCGTCTCTGGAATTTCCTTTTCGGTGGCTGTGTAATGACACCTGAAAATCAGGTATGAAGGACCACCTTGTCTGCTTCTGCGCCTCGAGCTTTGTGAGCCCCTGAGGAACAGGCTGCTCTCCCACCTTCACGTCCCATGAAACTCAGCCTGGAACATTCTAATACATGACACGTAACTTGCTGGAAATAGAGTCCCTCTTCGGCTTCCTGGGTGTTCAGTCAGGGTGAACATGCCTCCTCGAGAGGGACTCGGAGTCAGGAATGAGTATGTCGTCTTCCTCATCATGTCCACTCCCTTCCACGTTGGTGTTACGTGAGGGACCCCGCCGTGCAAATAACTGGGGGCAGATTCTGAAAAGAAAAACCGTGTCTTTCAAAGACATCACTGTCTGATTAAGAAGCAAAGACGAACACATTAAAAATGATACAGCAAAATATAAACAAAAGGTATCATAAAATCAGCTTTGCCTTTAAGCCTTCTAAGAATACAGCTTCAGCTCCTCCCTTAGAGGCTCGAATGTAATAGATCCAGGCTCCAAACCTCGCGGAATAATCTACGACAGAATTTTATGTAAATGAGTACTATTAGCATGTTACACACAGTACCATAGTTATATTGAAATGGATTATAGCATCATGACATGGAGAAAACATGGTGCTTATATTTAACTTTTAAATTCTCTAACTTGAGAGGCAGCTTAGCATCACGAGTCGGAGCCTGGCATCTGAAGACAGATGTTTGCATTAAAAGCTCGGCTTTCCCTCTGCTGGATGAGCTTTTGGACATGAGTGAGTCGCCCAGCCTCAGCCTGGGGTTCTGTGGTGACATGCAGAAGGTGGCAGTTCCTCTACCACGTCCTTGGGAGGAGTCTGTGACTTAACCCTTGTGAAGGACTCGAGATAAGTGTCTTGCCTGGCACATAGCTAGCTGTTCATGTTACTTGTCGCTATTAGTTTAACAAGCTATACAGAAAGGAAAAATACAAAGTGGAAGTAGAAACCAGTATGTTGAATATGTCTAAAGAACCAGAATATTCTCAGATGTGGGGGACTAATCATGGAAATGGACAGAGTTAAGTCAGCTGGTCAGCTTTTCAGTGAGTGCCTCCTCCTGCTGATGGGATCGAATTCCAGTTTGGCCTTTGACGGTAAAAAGATGAATAAAATTTGAGGGGCAAAGATTTCATCAATGACACTTCTCATGCATCCTGGTAGACCTCGTCTTAATTTTTGGGCTTATTAACAGCCCTGTAGTGCAGCAGGTGGACATGGCATGCCATTGGCTAGGAGGCCACCGGAAGGGCATGACACGCACCTGTGACATTCCTGCCCCACCAGCAGAACCCACTGTCATGGTGAAAGCCAGACAGAACCATAGGAAGCTGGGGTGGTTCTAGTGCCGCTGTCTTCCCTCTCCTCACGTGGGGTGCATCCAGCGTGGGGCTCAGTAGTTACCCTGCTGGCTAGTAATGTAGGAGTTAGAATAAGGGCGCTCTGCTGACTCAATGGTAAGGAGTTACACTGCCCACCCAAAGGCATACAGTTCAAATCCACCAGCTGCTTCAGGAGAGAAAGAGGGACAGTCTCCTCTAGTACGATCCACAGCCTCTGAAAACCCACGGGAGGCTCAGCTTTGAGATCGGTCCTGACTCAGTGGTACATAACAACAACCGTGGTTAGAATATAGCAGGTTCTAAGATTTGGGTTGCAGGATCCCTTACCTCCCAATATAAAGCAAAGTTTAGGGCAAGATGTGTCAACCTGCAACCCAGCCTAAGAGTTTCATAAGTGGAGTTACATGAGCTGCGTGAAGCGAAGTAAGAGCATGGCCCACTGCTAGCGGAAAGGTCAGTGGTTTGAATCCCCCATCCACTCGGCAGGAGAAAGATGGCAGTCTCTGTCAGCTTGTCCAGCTTGGAAACCCCAGTGAGGGTCACCAGGGTCCGAATCGGCACCAGTGGGTTTGCCATAAAAGCTGGATAACTCACTTGTGTTAACAGAGAAGTAACTTCAGCTTCCTTATCTCTGTTGACCCAAATACAGCTTGTATCCGAACATGCCTTTGAAATTCCAGACAACGTTAGACCTGGACATCTTATTAAAGAACTTTCTAAAGTAATTCGAGCAATAGAGGTAAGCGTGAGGCCGGTGTATAAATGTTGCTGTCTGTCCTTTGGAGGAGCAACAGTCAGCTCTCCTGAGATAAAAGCTGCTCTGTGATTGGAGGAGGGGACTGGGTGTTGGTCAGGGGAGCCTGGGGAGCTGGGCAGGGCCTGGCGAGCCACATGACTATAGAAAATAGGAAAGCCTCTGGGTTAGAGAAGTGCATTTTGTTTAAAAGCCCATAAAATCTGTGATTCGATATTCTAATTTAATAATTAGAAGCTATCCTAGCTGTTAAAGAAATGGCATTATAATTAAAGTCGTTCTTCAGAGAGGTGGCCCTTCAGTGTGTAGCTTGGACTGAGGGAGTTAAGTGGGGGGACGGAGGCCAGCTGGGTGATTTTAGAGCTGTGATCAGGGCCATGTTTGGAGTATGGCCAAGGGCCACATCTCAGAGCCATTAAATGCTGGGTTCACCATTCACCGGGAGAGAGTAGTTTACATAATTCTCAGTTGTGTTCCAGCAATATCTTCCACATTGAATTGTGAATGTGGAAATTGTGAATGAGTGAGTATAAGCTTGGTCTTGTCAGTGGTCACCAGAAAGAAAAGATCTTTGGAAGCAAATAACTGAAAGGGTTAAAAAGGCATATAGCTCTTAGAGTCAGTGGCCGCCCCGGAGAAGGGACCCTCTTGGGGAGAGCAGACTGTTCTTTCAGTGATGGATGGGCCTTATAGAGAATTTCCAAATAATCATTGATGATTATTAATTAATGGTTGTCACGAGCGTATGTGAAAGAATTTGCATCGCAAGAATTTCGTTTCTGTTAGACTGGAGGCAGCTTAAACCGTTAACAGTGACATCAGCTCACTGCCTTGTGCCCTGTCCACTCCACCGTGGGACACGGCCCGGTCATCATGATCAGGGGGTACATCCACTACACTGGGGACTTCCACGTGGTCCTTAGGGTGGTGTCCCAGCTGTCTCTCACATGGTGTCGGGGGCAGGATCCAGCTGAGCGGTTGTCCTGTGTGCCGGTTCCACGTACATGATAAAATGGACTGGTCTCTGCACTTGACCTGTTGAATGGCCTGGGCAGAGGCATGCCACCCTAACCATGCTCTGATTTAACTCTTAAGGAGGAACACAGCAGACCAGTTAAATCTCAGGGAATTCCTACTGTGTGTCCGCTTTCTCGCCCCTCAAACGAAGCGGCCTCCCCATACCACTCCCGACGGAAGATGCGGAGGCTCCGCGATCACACCGTGCGGACTCCTTCCAACCTGGACATCTTGGAGCTGCACACGAGGGAGGTCCTCAGACGGCTGGAGATGTGTCCCTGGGAGGAGGTGAGTGCTCTGCCCTGGGCTCACTCACTCTCCTGCCCTCTGTTCGGGCTCCCACAGGGCTGGTGGAGTGAGGGGGCAGGCGTCCCCGGCAGTCCTCAGCCACTTGGCCAAGCATCCTCTGCAGCCCTCGGTTGGGCGTCCCCTGCAGCCCTCGGCCAGGCGTCCGCTGCAGCCCTCGGCCTTGTGTCCCCTGCAGCCCTCGGCCGGGCGTCCCCTGCAGCCCTCGGCCGGGTGCTGTGTTGCGGGCACAGGCTGAACAGGCTCCGCGTCTGTACTTTCAGGTTGTCTTGAGCCCTAAGCTGAATGGGAAGTTCAACAAACACCTACAGCCGTCTTCCACGGTTCCTGACGGGAGAGCGAAAGATAATGACCTCCGATTACTGCTGACCAACGGGAGGATAGTCAAGTATGTAAAGTAGGTCTCAGAAGCAGGCTGGTTGGTTTAGTGGGCTCCCCGCTTGCTGGATCCTACAGCCGGCTGTGGACTTGGGGGCGAGAGGCTGGGAGAGCTGCCCTGCACCCTGACGCAATTTTGCTCCCATGACACAGAGATGAGAGACAGCCCTTCTCAGACTCGAGCCTTTATACGGCGGACAGTGAGAGTGAGGAGGACAGAAGGAGGACGCGGAAGATGAAAGTGAAGCTCGAAGAGCCTTCGGGACTGCCTGGGGTGGAGAGAGAAGAATCCCAGACATCGCTCAACAGTAGGTTTCTGCGATGGTCTTTGGGAAGGTCTCTTCACCGTGTGTGAATAATAAGCTGGTTTTGAATGTCTTTATTAAGAGACCAGCTGTGTGTCTGAGTAGTTCCTCCCTCGGCACACCGACATGTAGCCCCACACGGTAGGTGGTCAGTCGGTAGATTCCACATGTGTTTGAGAACATACTTTAGTTGTTGTTGTTGTTGTTAAGTGCCGTCAAGTCGCTTGCGACTCATGGCGACCCTATGTACAACAGCCCTAAACCCTGCTCTGTCCTGTGCCAACCGCACTGTCTCTGACACACCCATCCTGATTACCCCAGTCACTGAATCAATCCACCTCATAGAGGGCCTTCCTCTCCTGCACCGTCCCTCCACCCTCCCAAGCATGATGTCCCTCTCTAAAGACCTGTCTCTCCTCACAACATGTCCAAAGTATGTCACACGAAGCCCCAGAATCCTTGCCTCCAAGGAGCCGCCTGTTTTAACCCTGTGTGAATTAGGGAGGAAAGCTTCAGGGGGAAAGAATGGATAAGAACAGCTGAGTCGGAGAACAGAGCGATCGGAAGATGTGCGCGGTGGGGTGGGCTCTGGGTGACCTCTGCCCTCCAGAGCTCTGATGTTATCTCCTTTCTCCTGTTCCCTTCTTTCCTAGGATTTCTTACAGGTGTGAAGTCAGAACTCAGGAACGGACCATCAGAATATTCTGATATTTCTGATTCGGAAGACTCTGGCCCCGACTGCACTGCACTGGTATGTCCAGCCGGGGTCTGCTCCCTGGTCACACCCGTGGGCTACAGAAAACGGCAACATCTGGGGGCCTCTCCCGCAGCTCGAGGTCTCCCCCTCTTGGGATTGCGTGGGGTGCGTTTCAGTGGGGTTCCCCTGCCAGGCGTTTAGGTCTGCATGAATGGCTCTGTGACACTGGCTGTGTTTCTCTCTGTTCTGGAACATTCTTAGGCTTTCAGTCCCGTGGCTCCGGTGGACTGTGGTGTGTTCGATGCCTGTGCCTCCTGTTTGGTTTGGGACATGGTTGTGGGGTCCTCCTGTACCGTCCTTATGTTTATTGCAGGTTACATTTTGGTTTACTGTCACTCATTGCTGTTGAGTCAGGGCTGACTCTGGCTAACCCTTCACCAGGCCTCCAGGGCTGTAAATTGCCCAGGAGAAGCTTACCCACCTTCCTCCTTCAGAGCTGGTGGGCTCTCACCTCAGAGAGATGCAGCCATTGGGTTCACAACACAGCGCCCTCTGGACTGCGCTACGAGAAGTCCTTATCTACCAGAAAGGAACTGACACTGTGTGTTTATTAAGGGCTTGTGTTCTTGTGAGTCTTGGCAGGAGTTAAAGTGCTTGGCTGCTAACCAAAAGGTTGGCAGTTCAAACCTGCCAGTTGTTCCCTATGGAAAAAGATGTGGCTGGCTGCTTCCATAACGATACAGCCTTCGGGACGTTACCGTGACTTGGAATCAGCAAGTTCATGTCACATCCTCCCTCTCACGCTGCCGTCAAGTTGGAATCAGCTCAGAGCTGACCCTCCGGCAGGTTTCTGGGGCATCTGTCTCCCCTGGAGCCATTGGTGGGTTTGAACTTCCCGAGGGGTGTAGGTGGCCCTTGGATTAGTGGCATGTCTTTCTTGCTGACTGTGCCACCAAGACGCCCCTGTGGTGTTTCAGAGACAATGATTCCGTAATAACTTGGACTCTTAGCTTTCCCAAATGGACTGTCTTTTTGTTGTTGTTGTTAATTTGCTCAGTCTTATGTAACTGTGCTTCCATTTAATGATCTGTTACCTCAGAAAAATCATTTTACCACTGAAGAGTCTGAAAGTTCAGGTGATGAGAAGAAACAAGAAATAACATCCAACTTTAAGGAGAAATCGAATACCATGAAGAGCTTCCTTCAGAAGACCCAGGAGCTGTCTAGAAGTGAGATTCCTGTGAAAAGGTGAGCTTGCAATGGGGACGTCTTACTGCTCCGTGGTGCCTTGACACAGGGACATTTCTTGGTTTCGATCTGACTGCAATGCCACAGAGACGACTCGGCACTCACCTCTGATTGTCTGCCCTCCAGGGAATGTCCTACCTCGACCAGCACCGAGGAAGAAGCCATCCAGGGCATGCTATCCATGGCGGGGCTGCGCTACTCGCCCTGCCCGCAGAGGCCACTGGGCACCGTGGATGGCGGTAGCCCAGACCCCAAAGCCATCCGGGATGCTGGCAGCTGCCCCAGCAGTGACCATGAGGCCAGGCCGTTGTGCCGGCCCGACAGACCCACGGCGGGCGGTAAGGACACAGACTCTCAATCCCTGTGCAGGAGCACGTGACCTAGGTCAGAGGTGATTGTCCTTGATGAGATGCTCATTCATAGTGACCACACGTCAGAGCACTGCCCTGCCCGGTCCTCCCCGTCGCAGTCGCTGTGTGGGAGCCGCGTGTCAGCCCATCTCCCTGCGGGTCTTGTCTTCCGCTGACCACCTACCTTTCCAATGGCCGACACCTCCTGACAGTGTACCTCAGAGACATGCGACAGGCTCAGCTTCCTGTCTCTAAGGGCACCGCTTGTGCTTCCTCCGAGGCAGACGTGGTCGACCTTTTGGTTGTCCACAGTATGTTCCCGACTGTCAGAGTCACAGGTCTCAGTTCTTCAGTCTTCCTGCTCCTTGTCCAACCGTTAGATGTAAATGAAGCAGCTAAAATACCCTGCCTGGTAAGGCACACCTTGGTCTTCAAAAAAGTGACGTCTTCTCACGTTAGCTCTTCAGAGAGGTCCTTGAGAGCAGGTGTGCCCAATGGCTTCCCATAATCTCTTAAGTTCCTTGAAAACAACATGTTCTTATGGACATCGTGTGAGATTTAGACAAACTGCCTCTATTCCATATGAAGATAAACTCGTTTTAGAGGGCGTGTGTTCCATTTGGTGTGATGTCTGTAACTGAGTGCCGGAAGTCAGATGGTGGGCCCTCCGGCATCTGGCATAGTCTGCCCCAGGAGGCTGCCAGGGACTGAGGGATGGGCAGCAAGTGTGGGCAGCTGGCGTTTTCAGTCAGAGAGGCATGTGGTGTGAAGATGTGTTTAAAGGGTTAAAGGACTCATGTGGTTCTGAGCACAAAGCCAGCTGCCCTCTAGGACCTAGTGTGTGTGGAGCTAATTTGAGGAAATTGTCTCTTTAGGATTCCACATCAAGACCAGTGATCATGATTTGAGGGCTTCTTCCTGGATTAAACAATTTGACACAACTTCCAGATTGAATCCTCAGGTTGGTTGAAGGTTGGAACATTAAGAGGAGATTTAGAATAGTCATTAACGTTGGTGTTTTGTTCCCAGGCTCGGGCTCTGGGAAGCCAGCACCACAGCTGCATGCAGAGTTGGCGGGGTGCTGGGGTGGTGGGTCCAGGAGGCCTGTCTCGGGTCTCTGAGGGCGGAGGGAGGGTACCATGTGAGCAAGTCCCCGCTGTTGGCTTTCTCTCCAACTTTGTGACTTCAGTCACAAGGCCGCTTCAGGAGTTGATGCCTTCTCAGCTCCCGGGTGTCCAGACTGAGGTGACTGTCAGGAGGACAGGCTAGTCTCGGTCAGCAAAAGCCAAGTCTGTTGTTTGACTGAGGCCAGACAGGCGACAGCCGCTGCTCATCTGGACATGTGAGAGCTCAGCCTGGCTCCTCTCTTTCCTCAGGACCTGAATAGAGGCCACAGGGTCCTCAAGAAGGAAGGTCCTTCAGAGCTCCCCCAGAAAGGACAGAGCAGGAGCCATGTGGACAGCAGCGGGCTGGGCCTTCCAACCGGGAAGTGCATGCAGAGCGCTGGCGTGGCCCCGGGCCCTTGCCAGGTCAGCAGTGGCAGCCTTAGCCCAGAGCAACCAGCCGGGGACTCATCGTTCTCGTTGCCCCTCCACCCCACCAAGAGACCTGCATCCAACCCTCCGCCCATCAGCAACCAGGCGACAAAAGGTACTGTCACCACCATCACAGGTGATGAGCGGGCGTGTCGGTGGCCCCTTCCTGCTGAGGAGCTGTGAGGATACAGGCTGCCGTGGGGGCGAAGGGAGGGCACCCCACTGGCCCTGAGCACAGGGAGCTTTCTAGAGGAGGGGGCGAGTCTTGGTGGGGCACTAGAGGGACCAGCTAAACTAGGGGAACGATAGGCTCAGTGGCCTTGGGACTGTGAGGTGGTCTGACCCAGGTACCAAGGGAGAAGCAGTGAGATTTAGGCTGCCAGGTCCCTGAGCTGGGGCCACGGTGAGCACTGATGGGGGAGACGGCTCACTTGGGACTGTGGGCCCTTTGATCTGCTGAGTCCTCACGTTCAGGCCCTGACAATCTCGGCCCAAGAGGCCCTGTGGTCGGCTGCAGGCTGGCTTCGGTCCTGCCGTAGTGAGATGGTCGTGGGGTCCTGGGAACACAGCTCCGAGTGTGACATGGCCCCTTGGGCTGGAGGCTCCTTTTCCATCAGGAGGCTGCTTTTGAGGTCCTGTTGCCATCTGTGTCTTTCAGGGAAGCGTCCCAAAAAAGGCATGGCGACTGCCAAGCAGCGTCTCGGGAAGATCCTGAAGTTGAACAGAAATGGCCATGCACGTTTCTTTGTGTGACACATCTGCGGGTGCAGCCACCGTGCCCTACGGGCGGAGGGGCCAGAGCCTGGCGCTCACCAGTGTCCCCTGTGCTCGACCAGGAGAGGACACTGCCCGGGGACGATGCTGCATTTTCACTGTGCCACACCTCTCAGCAATAACGTCGACCTGGTGGGGAGAAGAGAACCTTAAACGAGACCTTGAACTGGAGTGGGTCTCGTGTCAGGGCTTGAAGTTCATTCTGTTGTTGGTAGTATCTTGGTTTCTTTTCAGTGGTAGGGTAAAGAATTATTGATAATTTATTTAACAGATTTTTTTTAAAGTTAACAATCTTTAAATTCTTTCTTTTTTTTTAAAGCTATTTATTTGGAAGATTTCTGGAGAACTATCTCACTAATTTAGATTACCAATGTGAAGGTTTTTAAATTATTTTTGATAGCGTGTGTGTGATGCGTGGGAAGCCACGGCAGCCGTGACCAGTCTGGACTCTGAAATCTGCTATTCAGGTTAAAGTCTTAAACAGGGATTTGATGCATTAATTATTTTAAATTAAGATGTATATGAAAATCATTTTATTTTATATATTTCATGTGTTTTTTATAAGCTATTCGCTTCGCTTTTGCTAACTTCCAAGGTGCATACTGTTAGCCACTTCCGTTCTCTGAGCCCCGCCCTTCCCTGCACTCGCCACCCGTGAGGCCACTCTGCAGAGGGACCCCGCCAGCGTGGGACCCACAGCGAAGACCCACCTTTTATGGGCCCGACGGCCAGTTTCTTCTGTGGAGAAAGAGCAGGCCCTTGCATTTTTATGTCTGCTGGTGATGTATGGGTCCCAAAGAGAACAGCTTTAACGTCTGTCCCCGGGTGCAGGATGATGCCCGGTCGAGTCGTCACGTCTCTGGTGTCACCAGATGTGTGTTGCTCCTGCCGAGGGAGGGTCTCCGCCGGTGTGGGAGGTCAGGACTGGCGGCTGCCACACAGGTCTCTCTCCTGATACTTGGTGTGTGTACCTGGCTGCTTGAAGCTCTGATCTGACTTGTTGAATCAAATCTGCATCCTACTGCACTGTAACATAATAGGTTCATACTCTTGTCAAGGAGCCTTGTGGCTCGGTGGTTAGTGCTCAGCAGCTTGACAAAAGTCTGACAGTTCAAACCCACCGGCCCTCGTGGGAGGAAGATGACGCAGCGCCCGGCTCCCACTGCACGTCCAGCTTTGGAAGGCCAGGGGCCGGAGCTCTCCTGGGGCTTGCTGGCCTGGGGGCAACTTGTCGACAGCAGGTTTGGTTATGTTACATCAGGTTGTTCAGAACAAGCATGTTGGAGTGTGTATGTGTGTGTGTGTGTGTGTGTGTGTGTGTGTGTGTGTGAGAGAGAGAGAGAGAGAGAGAATATGATGTGTGGGTCGAATGGTGCTTCCTACAGTGTCAGCCCAGGTGTGCGGCCGCACTTCAAGTTTCATTTCTCTTCTTGAGGCGGTTTCCCTTCCACACCGGTTTCGTTTTCCTGTGACGGCGTCCATTGTCCTCTCCTTGCCCCCATGACCTCACATATTCTGGGATTGGAGTCTGGGAATATCCCATTTCTGACACTAGAGCATTTTACAGGTTCCTGCAAAGAACATACAGGCAGTTAAGAGAACATTGATTTTTATGGGGAGGAAATAGGGTGGTAGGTGCTGTGGCTTTGCCTTCTTGTACTCAGCAAGATGACAAGATTCCCTTTCTGTCTGTAATGTCCTGAAGAGGTGAGAGTCTGTGCCAGTGTCTCCCCTGGCTGCTCCTGGACGTACCTTTTTAGACAAGTCTCTGTCTCCATTCCCGGGCTTGGTGGATTGCATCTCCAGTGCTTATGGGTGTGAGCCTTTGAGCCCAGAGTGAGGGGACTTACTCTGAAGCTCCCCAGGTGCCAGCCAGAAGTGGCCCACTGGTCGCTGTCTGCAGGAGACCAGAGCACGAGCAGGGGCGGCGCCTGTCCAGACGGAGCGTGACTGACCTCACCCACCTTCCTGTCCTCTGTCTCACTGTGCTGATTGGGTTCCTGTAGACAGTGTGAGGGATCCAGGACACAGTGTTCCTTTCCCCAGGTACGTCCTGATCTGAGGTCTCTACATTTTTTATATTTCAGCCATAAATCTATCTAGTTACCTGCCTTTCTTTTATTTTGCTATAGAGATGGAAATAGAACTTATTTTTGTGGATTAAGTTTGTAGGCAGCGCCCATCCTGTACCCAAGCTGGTAAATCCAACTTTGGCATGACCAGTGTCAGCTTTAAAGGGCAGGTGCTGTGGGGTTACGTTGGCAGTGTTAGCCCCTCACTTGACTGAGTTAAAGCTTTAGGGAAGGGACCAAAACCGTTATTGCAGGATCTGGGCAGAGCCAGTCCTGGACTTGGTCAGAAGGCGGGGAGACAGGATGCCCTGTGTCCTTTTCTCTCACGGAAAGGGGACTTGGAGGGGACAGCAGAGTCTGGCTTAGAGTGAGATACGACCTCTCTTTTGTCCCATCTGTACTGTTCTCACGCACAGGGAGACAGCAGTGACCAGATTCATTAGCCATAAGCAGCCGGACATGGCTCAGCAGATCCGCACAGAACAGTAGATGGTGATCAGCCTGCATTTAAGGAAGTGGCTTCTGTCCCCATGGGCTCCACAGCTGGTTCACTCACCATCACATACTCCTGCGTCCAGTACTGAGGAAGAGTGTGGCCATCAGGACTGCCTGCTCGCTCATGGCCTTGGTTTTCTGTGCACCATCCGGTGGGAACTGACCCATAGCTGACCCTCCGGCGGGTTTTCAGAGGCTGTAAAACTCTCTCAGAAGGAGATGGCCTGGCAGTCTGCAGAGTGGCTGGTGCATTCGAACCGCCTGCCTTTGTGTTGGCAGCTCAGCTCTTTATCACACAGTCACCGGAGCTCCCTTCTAATAGGCTAGTCAAAGTGGAGCATTTTGAGCATCAGCTAGTGGCTTTTAAAGCATATGAGATTGGAGCCATCCTTACTGCTCGCACGGGTAGCTTGAACGTGGTTCTGCTTTTGATCACAGTCACTGCCCTTTTCGTGCTGGCTTGGACTTTGTGACGTGAGCCCCGTGGTATGTGTCAGATCCCCTCTGTTCTGCAGAGACATGGGGCCCAGCGTCCATCCTCTCTCCTTGGAGGTGTCTTCCGGGAGATGGGCAGTGTTTGTTACATTTCTAAGGAAACTTAAACAAAAGGGATTCCTTAAAGAAGCAGAACTGTGTGAGTTTCACCTGAGACGGACACCAGTGGATGCGCAAGTCAAAAGGACCTGAGTGATTTTTAGGGGACTGGCAAGTGGGGTCAGTTTTTAAGAGGCATTTCAAGAGTTAGCTTCCTGTTGGCTGTCAGGCATCTGCGTGGCCTGGAGGGAGCAGCCCACGGGTGTCTGGTCTGCTCTGCTGTTTCCAAGCCTGTGTGCCCTTGACGAGCCTTCCATTGGTAAGGGGTCAGAACATTCACAGTGGTCACCAGCTAAGAGACACAGACAAGCCAGCAATAATTCACTTTCGAGAAAACTTGCCATTCCTAAAATTCAGGGTGTAACTGGTAGAAGTCACTCACGAAGATGCCTCCATACACAGTTTAAAATGAAAACTGCTGCTCTGCAGAAAACTTGCCGCCTATGGGGCCTCAGCTCAGACCGTGCTTCCTAGAAGTCTGAGCCTCTGTAGCCAGCTGCTGAAGTAAAGGCCAGTTCCAGCTGGTTGCAGGAGGGCAGCAGTGAGGACACCCGTCCTTAAGCTCTGCAGCATCCTGGGAAGATGGTTGTGGTTTTCACCCAAGCCAGGCTGCTCTTCTTGGCTCACAGATTCGGCTCGTGCCTCACCCTGGATGCAGGTGGAATGTGTCACAGTGATAGAGTGATTGAGTAATGCCCAGAGGGCTGCAAAGCCAACAGATGGGGTGGTTAGAAGGTAGGGACCCACGTACGGCATGGCTCCTGGGCAGAGAGAAGGCGTGGTGGTGCAGGGAGCAGGGCCCATCGTGTCCAGGGAGAAGGCTGCTGGCCTCAGAGGTGCGTTCTCCATGCAGGTGTTCGACGCCTGGCCAGTGCTGCTGCTGACCGGGGAGGGGGAAGCAGCGTGGTAACTTGTCACTTGGAGAGATGAGCGCCTTAGTAGGAATGAGACCTTTTCCAGATGAACTCATTAACTGGCAGACTGACTGTGCCCGCTAGGAAGACCAGATGGAGGCCTGCTCACTGCAGCCTCTGCCACCCGACATTGTTCATCAGCCTCAGAAAGGCCCTCCCCAGCAAAGGGAGGGGCCGGCGAGGTCTAGGTGGGAGTGTGTCCCTTGGGGCCACTGGCTTGTGTTGGGGATGGTGGGAAAGGTCTGGAGGCCACATTGTTGGTGGACAAAGGTGCTGTTAATCCTGAAATTCTACTAAAATCCTTGGCTTGTGTGTCCTTACATAAAACAAGTTCACTCAAGGTCGTGAGGGAGCCCAGGTGTCTGCCCAAAGCAGGTTGCTGAGGTGATTGACTGTGGCTTGATGCTTGTGTAGTTGTTTGTGTTTCAGTTCTTAAATGGACAGGAGATTAATACCACATTTTACCCCACGGTCCTCCCCTACCCCTGGTGTCCTCCGAGCGTCCCCCGCGGTCCTCCCACACCTCCAGTGTCCTCCAGGTATCCTCTGAGCGTCCTGAGGTGTTGTCATGGCTGATGCAGCATTTGGTTTTTTTGGGTCACACCCTCCAGGGACCCCCAGCGCTCCTCCACCTGTCCCCCCTCCCAGACCTCCAATTTACTATGCAAACCTGTGACGTCTAAGTCCCAGCCAGACCTTAGTCACAAAGGTCAACTTGCCCCAGTTTCATTTGGCCATTTCTTTTCAAAATGTCAGCCTTCTTTTTTGCATCCCCTGAGGTTTCTCAGCAAACCAATGATCATAAGTGCTGGAATCTGTAGTATTTTGCAGGGATAAATAACCCAGACATCCTCCTATTCCGTTGGTGGATTTTGGTTGGTAGAAATGACCACCATGACTCGTA